TTTAATCTCTTGGAAATCTGTTTGTATCTGTTTTATGGATTTCATTTGTTTCCTATGTTGGGATTCCATCGTGTTCCTCAGATCCTCTATTTTTTTATCTGTGTCCTCTCTAGATTTATTAATCATGTCTTGAACCATGAGCAAAATCTATGCTGTTATCTGAGTAATTATTTCTGATTTCATTTTTCCTAGATCTTCTTTTGTTGCCAGTTCAGAGAGTCCAGGTGATCGAGTGTCAGATTGTTCCATCTCATTTCCCTTTGGGGTTGCTGTAGGTGATCTGGAAGTCTGCTTTTGAGGCTTGTTTACATGTCTTCTCATTTCCACGGGGGGGAGGGTGTGCTTCTGGCACCCACGTGGCTTACCTTCTCTGCCCTAGGAGCCTGGGATGGCAGTGGGAGCTTCCTTCTGGGTGGTGGGACCGGCTCACCTTCTCTGTCCTAGGAGCCTGAGATGGCAGCCCCTACAGATGACATATTGTGGAAATACCAAAATGTTTTCCAAAGTGGGTGTTTTCATTTCCCATTCCCATTAATATTGTGTGAGGAGTCTACCTTCACTACATCCTTGTCAACACTTGTTATTGTTTTTATTTTATCTATCCTAGTGGGTATGCAGTGAATTGTTTTAACACCTTTACTGAAAATCAAGTGTAAGAGTTCATTCTTGGACTCCCAAATTCATTCCATTTTTTAATACATGTTTGTATTACACAGTGATTACATTTATCACAGGGAGTTGTACCTATACATAATACACCTTAATTATTTTTTGGTTTTTTGGTTCCATTCCCCTTCTCTCCCTCCCTGCTCCTTCTACCCCCCCCCCCCCATGCAAAAGCTCTATTTCCATTTTTTCTCTTCAACTCTGTTTTTATTTTTTATTTTTTGGTGCTGGGGATCAAACTCAGGACCTTGAGATTGTGAGGCAGGTGCAGTGCCTGTGAGCTAAATCCCTGGCCCTCAATTCTCTTTTTAAAAATACCCTTTCCCTTCTTTCCTTCCTTATTCCATCCATCTCTTATTCTCCTTCCCATTGGAAGATCTACTTCTTATCTATCTCTTATTTTGGTCCTTATTTATACTTTGGATATCTCATATAATAGGAACAATGCAGTATTTAAACTTGTGTGTCTGATTTATTTCAGTTGACATTATGGTCTTGGGGTGCATTGACTTACCTAAAAATGTCTCAAGTTTATGCTTCTTCTTGGCAGAGTAGTACTCTATTGTATTCTAAATATATACCACATTTTCTTTATCCATTCATCTGTTGATTGGCATATAGGCTGTTTCTAAGATTTAGCTCTTATAAATTGTGCTGTTGTAAATATGAGTCTGAATGTACCACTGTAGTATAATGACTCTTTTGGGAAGATACCTAGAAGATGAATAGCTGGGTCAAATGGAATTTCTAGTTTTAGTTCATTCCATTTTATCTTTTCTTCCATTCTTATCCAAATACCATACTTTCTTGACTACCATAAGTTTGTAATAAGTTTTAAAATCAGAAATTATGACCAACTTGGTTCTTCCTTTCATGATTATTTTGTATCTCTCATTTTCATTTAAATTTTATGATTAGTTTATTAATTTCTGCAAAAAGAAGGTATCTGGCATTTTGATAGCCAAGTTGTCATGTTTTAGTATCTCTTCCTAGCTGGAGTACTAGATTTGTTTCAAATCACTCTTTCAAAAAGTATTTTAGATCAGTTTGTATTACTTGATATTATAGGCAATTTGGAATAATTTTTAACACTTACATGTATTTTCTATTAACAGTATCTTTTTTTCCTTGTTAGGTTCTGTCAATTGTTTATATTTTCAAAATTTCATTTTATCCCTCCTACTAGTTTGAAAATTTTACATTGCATTTGTCTTCCTTTGATGATTACCCTTATAAATGAACTTTAAGCATAATTGATTAAACAATAAAGTTTATTTACCATCTCTCGCTTCCTGAATAATTCAAGATTCATTGACTTCTTTTATCCTGGCCTAATTCTTGTTCCTCTTCCATTGAGCTATCTACTTTTATAAACCCTACTTATTATTTACGCCACTACCAATTAGTCTTTTGTTAGGTCGGTATTCATTTAAATTTATACAATGTTTAGCAATTAATATGTGTATCTTAATTCCTTTTTAATTTTTTTCTAAGTTCAGTCTTTTTCTTCCTAAGTATATCCTTTAGTAGCTCTTTCACCAGGCTTGTATCTTTAATTTTTTACTTTGTTATAAATGTTATTTTAAAATTTTGACAATTTATTTAGTAATCACTGAAATAAACATTAAAAACGTAGAGAAAATAGTTTGAAATTTCTTGTACTCCTCAAACAGCCTCAATTACACAAACATATGGCTACCTTCTTGAATTATAGTTTTATTAGGTGTAGATTAATTGAAGTTATAGTCCTGAGTGCTGTTGATATGGTGTCTATTACACTGTAATTGCCCTAGCTAGTAGCTTGTCTTTTCTCTCTGCTTTTATGATCTACTTTTTTAAAGTATTTTCTTGAGTGCAATTTCACCACTATATATCCTAATGTAGAGTTTTATTGATATTTCTGGGTGGGTCTAGGTAGGTCATGGAAGCACGAACTTGGGTACTGTATATGGTCCCTGCCTCCCTCTTTTTACTATGAGGCAATTGACTAGATTTCCAGGAATATGGACCAGAGTTTTTCTTTAGCTAAATTGCTTGCACCATAGAGGATCCACTTTTACACCAAGCAGATCCAATTGCATATGTACTAACTCATTTTTTTGCTATTATTTTGTAGATGCAAGTTTCAAAAAGCATGATTGAAAAGAAAAAGCCTAAATTTAGGAAAAGGTATACTTTATAAAATTAAAAAGTATTATGATAAAATTGAAATATATATATTATATGACATTTCTCTCAATTCTTCATTCTCTTTCATTAGGAAAACCTTGTGTTTAAATTTTTCTAAAAGAATAAAATGATAATAGTAGTTTTAGAAGTATGAAGAAAATTTAATATTTGTGCAAATATCTTGAGCCAGAACTTTTAAAGATTAATGTCATTTGAGCAACCATATGAGAAACAGGCTTTAATTTTTAAAATAGGTAATGCAAACTAGAAACAAGCTTTCAGTATAAACTAATAAGCCACTGATAACAAGTATTAGTATTTGTCATTGAACCAGCCATACCCTTCTTTTTAAAGAATGTAATCAGAGCTGTGTTAGAAACAATCCCACTCACAAGTAAAAACTGACACTCCTTTTTCTTTTCTTCTTTGTACTTTTTCAGAAGATAAATAATTTTTTAAAATAGATTTTCATTGGGCCGGGGATTTAGCTCAGTGGTTTCGCCACCTGCTGTGCATGCGCAAGGACCCAAGTTCGATCCCCGGTACCAAAAAAAAGACTTTCATTGCCCTTTTTCAGTTATACCTCACATCAACTTCATCAAATACATGTTGTATAATAATTATCTCCATTCAAAAGATGAATAATTTGTGGCTTGGAGAAGTTAAGTGACTTTCCAATATCTTAATGATTAAAGGAAGGGCATTTGAACAGCATTGTATGGTGGAAACATTATCACTTTACAGTTTGACAAAACTTAGTTCTATCATGCTCAATCATTTCTCTAAATTCCCAAATTTATTATTTTTTGTGATATCTCAACTTTCTCAGTTTCTTTATTTAATGAAAGTACTTAGATGCTTTTGTAGGAGGATTACAAACACACACACACACACACACACACAAACACGCATGCACGAAACCTGTGTAAGGTGCTACGTAGACCACCAGAGCTTTGTACCCAGTGAGAGCTCAAATCAATATTAGTCCCATTTTTTCTCACTTGATCATACTGTCTTCATTTACTGTGAAAGACAATTGAACGATACTTAAAAAATTTATATTCATAATCTTTGATTATAAATGAATACACAGGAATGATCATAATTGATCTTTTAAAACTAAATGTGTTGAATTCTTTTTTTCTAGGAAAGCTCTTTTAAAATGCTCTTTTGAAAATGTTTGTTCAGATGATGCCTTATCAAAGGAAAACATGGGTATGTAAAGATCTGTCCTTCTTTTAGTTTTTTTGCCTATAATCTAATTCCACAAAATGTAGTTCTTTCCTTTGAAGAAAAAAAATGCAAACAAGAGAAACATTAGTGGGTTACTTTTGGTGTTGATTTACATATAGAGGCTTTTCAACTGCCTGTAGGATTCTATTTCCTTAAATTAAAGCCTCTCTAGCTTTGGCATATGTTTACCTTTTAAAATAGAGTGCAAGCAGTTTTGAAAGTAACTGCCAACAACTATGCTTCAATCCAGACTTCTCCATTCCAAATTTATGAAATCCAGAGAGATAAAAGGAAGTAAAGTAATGACCTGAGGCTTCCAGCTGAGTTGTCATTGATATTAGAACACAGTAAGGTGAATATAGAATGCAGGGAGAAGGTTTCTCTTCAAAAGCTATTTACTCTTCCTACCTTTTCACTAGTCTTGAAAGCAAATGCTTATTTGCAAGATGTAACTTTGGGAGTTGTGTTCAAAGCCCATTAAACCCAGAGGCATTGTGCACGCCATACTCCCTCTCCCTTAAAACCACCACAGTGCTATGGCATTGTATTTCAATTGACTAAATAGGCCATTCATTTTTAGTTTCATTAAAAGAAAGTAAAGCAGGCAAAAAAGAATGGAGCAATTGTTTTTTATTTTTTAATTAATTTTATTGGTACATTTTAGGTATACGATATAATGACATTCATCATTGGAGATTTGTATCTTTACATCACATATCTTGATTCTTATTTTTCCCCCTTCCCCTGCCCTCCCTTCAACCCCTCCACCCCTTCCTATTTACAAAGACTTTGTTTCCATTTTTTCATTTTCTCATATTAATTACATTCCCCTCTTTCTTTTCCTCTACCCCTCCCACTTCCCCTTCCCCTTTGCACCTTTCCTCCAGAACAATTGTTTTTAAAATACTTTTGTTCCACAACAAAACTCCATTGTATCTCTTTCCCAACGTAATCTGCTGCTGTTTTCTCACTAAAATACCTTTTCTTGTTTTCTCACTAAGATACCTTTTCTTGTATTCTAAGATTCTTCCTTCCTTTGCTTCAGGTAATCAGTTTACCTATTCCTGTAGAAAGTCTCTTTATCCCTGACTGATTTCCCATTAGGAGATCCAGGTATTTAGGGCTCCAGAACCAGGATCCTTCTTTCCTCAAATGTATGCAAGAAAATAAAAAGAGAGCCATGTTCCCCAGGGTGCCTCCATTGATGAAATAATGGATGACTATATCTCACTAGTTATCCATGAAAAGAGAAACTTCTTCAGGAATCTTATATTCTGTATGGCTGCAAAAGTCTCAAATTTTATCTGTTAAGATATCTAATCTAATTTGTGTTTTATTCCTTCATCCTATCATGAACTAAAGAGCAGGAATATCTAGTCTCTACAAGTAGACTTCCTGAAGAAAATAGTTCCTTTTCAATTTTAACACACAAGTTTTTTTTTAATCCCTACTCATATTTCTGTGGACTTCTCAATTAAAGTTTCTGATAGCTCTTATTTCTTCACATATAAAGTGGAGTCAGTCCTGTCTCAAAAGACTGAAGGAAGTTGTACTGTCTTCTTCAAAGTCTGCCCCACTTCTTGGACCCAATTTGCTTGAACACCCACATTCTCAAATTTCACACTAGTTTCCTGGCCTACATTTACTGTTCCTAGGCGGGCTTTATGCTCCACGGATATTTTCTCTCCTTTCCCTTACTTAGTTATTACCAGGGAAACTAATTAAGTGTAGTTATCTTTTATCTCTCCAAGTATCAGTTTTCTCAATTATGGAAAAGAGGTGCAATAGGAGCCTTTTTATTGAGGATTGACAGATGTTTCTAGAAATTAATAGAAAGAGCTGAAGGAATATTAAATAATTTAAATTATATGCTCATGTCTGTAAAGATTTATCTAAAAATATTATTTGTGGAGCATATTTGCATTTTTAGAAAAATTGTTATCAGGAATATTATGTATTTTATTGCTATTATCCCTTGTAACTCATTTATTCAATATTTAGAAACAAGAAAATTTTTCTGTGATGAAGAAAGGATAATAGCAATAATAATGATGATTGGTAACTGACAATTACTATATATTTTCATTGTTCTAAACACTTCATATACATTTATTTATTTAAGCCTCACAAGATCTATGTGAAGTAAAGTAGACTTTAATGATTGGGAAACTGAGGCACTTAAAAGGTTACAGGACTTTTTCAAGGACACAGAGCTTAGTAACATTAATCAAAGTATCCACCTATTTCTTGCATTACTTTGATTACAAGGAAGTGTATGGCAAAGTTTATGAATCTTTTTTGATGCAGCATTGGAAATTGGTCTTAGCATTTTTTACATTTAATTATTGCCTTTGTATTTTCCTTAATGAATTAGTTTTGATTTCTTTTTGGTTTTTGTCTTTTTGTTGTTTTACTGTTGCATTGTTTTCTGTTGGTAAATACTTCATTCCTTCTTTGAGAGTAAATAGTTTATAAAAGGTTGAATACGGATTGACATATTACCCAGAAAGAGGATGGTTAATATAGAAATGATCTGATTCATGGGGTGAACCATAGATGGAGCATAGAGTCCTTGCAGCCTGGTTCTAGGAAGTAGACTGGGTTACTGGGGAAAAAGATGTTATCCTGCTATTCAAGACAAACTTTGCCTACCAACCTTTGGTGTGGTGTGACGTGGCTAAAAGGTAATGTTGGCCTTCATCCCCTTTCCTCTTATCCCACTTTGCCAAAGAGCATCATGCCTCCTACATCTATTTGTATCTACAGGAATAGTGGTCTCTTCTTTGTTACAACTCAACCTCTTCTTTACTCATCTTTATATTTATATCACAAACACAAAAAGAAGTATTTGTGGTTAACTAAAAACTTTTTTAGTACTTTTTTCTCCTCACCTTTTTCCCTGATTAGAATGCTTTCAAAATCAATGAAATCATACTAAAAAATTATTTAAGTGTTTTTTCAATGACACCATTAGGGTGACTTAACTCAGCCTCCAAATAATAGAAGAAATGGTTTCATTAGACATTTCATAGAGAAGTAGAGGTTAAATAAAACTCAATAAGTTTGTGTGTGTGTGTGTGTGTGTGTGTGTGTGTGTGTGTGTATTGGGTTTTTTTGGTACTGGAGATTGAACTTGGGACCTTGTGCTTGCGAGGCAGGTGGCAGAATCACTGAGCTAAATCCCCAGACCAATAAGTATATATTTGAAATCTTTGAAATAGTGAGTGATTATTCAGTGACTTATTTCTTATCAAGAATGAAAAATAATACTGATTTATTTTATACATATTGATTTTTACGAGCTAGTTGTGAACTTTCAATTGGAAATGTATCTGTCTCCTTCCCTCCTTTTTCTCCATCCCTTATTCCTTTCCTCCTTCCCTTCCTCTCTCTCTTCTAGTAATGGAGTAGCTGTAATGTTACCACTTTACTCTCAACAAAAAATTGCAACAAGTCAAGAAAATTACAGGATAACCAATATTGATAAAAGATGATTGGTCATGAAATCATCAAAGGCATTCATTTTGTCTCTATCTTTGGAGGATATCATTGACCAATTTTGATAAACTGTTGATTATAATAACTGCTATTTCTTGAAAATTATTTTGAACTTTAGTTTACAATATAGGAATACTTATTTAGAAAAGCAAGCCTTCCATTACCCTGGAAGCAGAATTTGACATCAGTCAAGCTGGTGTTTTGAACCCTGGCTGATTTATGAAGTCCTCTACCACACTGTCTACACTTTGATCAAAAGGCTGCTTACATATTTTTCCAGATCAGTTGAAAACAGAAAGCTTACAGTGCCATTTGGCAATGACATTTGTTATCATAAATTGATTGTGTTTTAGCCTAACATTAGAAATATAGAGATGTTTACCATCATTCCTTTACAGCCTAGTTCAAAATCCATCTTCTCAACAGTGCATTAAATTTCAATGTCAGTTTCTATGGGCTCAGAATGTAAAGCAAAAAAATGTAGTATTTATGAGTAGCACTGGGGAATTGGTATAAAGATAGCTACAAGTAGTTATCTATTAAGTAACAGATTACTAATAAGAAAATCTATCAAATGTTAGGAGTTAATTGCATTAAAAGTGCCTCAGTAAAAATGTGATCTTCTAGAAAATTCTGCTTCAGTTGACAGAGTTGGATCAGATCCTTATTTTAAAATAAACTCCCCAGGTAACTCTCATGCCACCAAATTTTGAATAACAAACTAGAATGGAGCATTCTGTTGTCTTATTCTTAGCCTTTAACAATGGCTATAGAACACATCTCTTTGGATGCACCTAACGTGTTAGTGGTTTTTGTTTTGTTGAGTTGTTTTGAAGTATAGAATGGGTTACTAGAAAGCTTTTTCCAAGTTGTTTTGAAAGAAATTTTCCATGGAATAAACCTAAGACTGGCTGGGAAGAGATTATAACCAAAAACGCTTATTACCCTATATCTTATTTTCTTGAGTTGCTTGTCCCTTTAGGTACACAATAAATATTTGTTGATTGAATAAAAAGTTCTTAGGGCAAGCAGTAAATATAGACAGTTGTAATATAAGAAAATGTAAAGGGAAAATTGATTTTCCAGTGACAATCAAGAAAAGGAAACTTTGTATTTCATAATCTGGCACAATTTTATTTAATGCTATTATTAACTATTTTAGCAGAATTTAAAAATTTCTTTCTGATGTCCTGTTTAGAACACGTTCATGTTCCATAAACTTTCAGTTACTTTACCTGGTGTGATTTTGGTGACCTGCCAATAAATGGAAGACATTAGGTGGTAGAATATCAGATTTTAGTAGTTAGCATGAAAGATGAAGGGGTATGGTCTCATGGCCTTTCCCTATGTTGTCTTTGGAAAGGCTTTCACACTCTCCATCTGTCTCTGGTGCATGGTGATTGTGACATTCCTTTTAAAACTATATTAATGACATTTCTTTAGTTGTCTCTGAAACAGAAGTTTTGCTAAAAGAGCTAGAGCAAATGCTACAGCAAGCACTAGAGCCTACAGCAACACATGATAAGTCAGAACAAGAACATGGAGAAGAAATAAATCCAGGAGAAAAGGTAATATTGATAGTTTTTATCAGAACTAAATAGTAACTTCAAACTATTTAAATGGCAGAATTATTCTTGATTGCACATTATAATTATACACAACTTCTTTTTCACATCTGAAATTTGAGCCCTTGATTATCATGAAGTGATTAATAAATTAGTAACCAGCAAGAAATCATAATACATGTCAGTGTTGAAAAAAACTATGGATAAGCAGGGTTCTTTTAATTTTAGATCTTTGGAATTGGAATGAAGAAAGATAGAGGGGCTCACTGTAGCGGGATAGATCACTATAGACAAATTTTTCTCTTTTTTCTCATCTTTTCAGCTGGGAGAAGGAAGGGGCCAGGATAACAGCAGCTTCCTGGAAAAACCGTCCTCCTGGTTCATGCACCAGGATAACTGTTGTAAGGAAGAATCTACATAATTAACATACTCAATTTTCATTGGAATTAGTTTCCAAAATAAGTAGATTTTTCACTGAAATAATTTTCGCCATTCATATCTAGGTTTATCCTTTTTTCTTTTCCTTTTATCCAAATATGTAGGATTTAGACAGGCCATTTGTGCTTATTTTATTCAATGTATCTGCAAATAAAGTGAGGGTTTGATACAAGGTCCAATTAATACAGAACAGCAATGTGGTAAGTGTGAGAAAAATAAGTCAGAAGGAAGAAACTTTCACCAAGTGTACAGTTGTTCACTAAATAGAGAGAAAACTGGCAGCAAGGAGTTGTGTGTCCTTAGATTTCATTGATTCAGATGCATAGTGCACCTGGAGTCAAGAGAACAGATATGAGACTGACTCTAGAATATACTGGTTGTGTCCCAATCCTGGTCCTACCACTAAGGACTTGTATAATTTAGAAAGTTATTTATCACCTGCCTCAAAGGATTTTTTGGGGGAATAAATAAAAACGGCAAAATGTTTGGCATAAAATCAGACACTTCAGATTAACTATTATTATAGAAGAAAATTAGGAATAGAAATCTCTAGAGTTGAATGTTAAGATTTTCTTATTAATCTCTTTTTTCTCTCAGTCACTCCCATCTCACTTTGAGCAATTACTCATCCCCAAATCTGACTGTTCTCACATGCAGAAAAAATAAAGGGTTTAGAAGTGATCAAGGTTGTTTACACACTTTGGCAAACTGCCCAAATTACATGATTTCATTTAGAACTTCAAGAAGTATAAAGATGAGTCTTTAACAACTCCTTTATTGAGTTAGAAATTAAGGAAATATACAGAATTTACCAGTATGGATATAAATGTGTTAAAAGAAAATTAAATTAATGTCAACTCCTACTGAGTTGAGAATGCATTTTTAAAATCAGTACCAGCAATACCAACTTTTACCTGGATTTGTGTGAGTTATAAATGCCATTTTTTCTGATTAATGTTTCTGTCTAAAAATTTTGTTTTCTGTAAAAAGATCTTACCTTTTAGTAGAACAAAATCTGTAGATATATATCTTATATGTCACTTATATAAGACATTATATACATTATAAAAGACAGTAATATACAAATTATTCTTTTCTAGCAATTTTATGCTTTGTTTAAACACCATATGTTTTTGTGCAGTGTTTTTTCAGTTTTAGCAGTTTGTCTTTTCAAAAATACAGCCAGGTTGATTTTTATAGTGATATCCTGGAGCTTGTATAGCCACAGAATTGGCTTCTATTTTGCCGTTATAACTAGTAACTTGATAGAACAGAAAATTACTTCTGGTTTTATTTCTTAAGGTAAAATACATAGTTTTAATACATCACCTTGAAGGAGTTTGCTTTTTTTTTTTTAGATTCTTGTATTTTATACTTTTAAAAGGCATTTAGAAAATGTTAAAAATTAATTATTTTAACTTGCTGGCAGGCAGTTGAGTGCCTCCTGCTGACTTGTTCATAAGCCACTCTGCACACTGAGCTTTGTAAGTCTCACATTCATACTAGGCTCAGGATATTTAGGGCCTTGTGCACTTTTAAATGAGATGAATAGCTATGAAACCAACTATCAAATCTGTAGCAATTTCCAGTGTAAGTAAAGAAATGACCACTGCTAGGAGCTGGAACTTCTCTGGCTTGCTTTCTTTTTTCTTTCTTTCTTTCTTTCTTTCTTTCTTTCTTTCTTTCTTTCTTTCTT